TAACCTCAACAGGGGCCCTGTAAAAATTAGGGATGAGCCGATAAGGAAAATTGCCGATTACTGAGGCCGATTATTTATAAGCCAATTATCGTAACTAATCGGCCGATTAATCGGTACCCGCCGATTATTTTAAAAAAGCAACGAAAAATCACATGATGACCAACAATGAAGTTGTAATGCGGTTTTATTGTTTACAGTACACACTATGTACAATTAAAAACAGCTTCAATCTTGCATGTCAATAGTCAAAGTTTAGTTTTGGCAGATTATGGTCTGAAAACAGGATATTGTCAGCTATACGGAGCTAGTCTGCTGCGTTTTTCAGTGGAAATGTTCCCAGTTTCACTTCGCTTGAGACAAAAGACACAGGTTTTGCAACAAAATGTGAAAATCTATTCGCTTGTATTCAGTATTCTAGCATGTGCTCGGCAGCTGCAGAAAAAGTCTTATGGCCGATTATGTGCCGATTATCAGGCAATAATCAGCCGATTACCGATTATTTAAAAAACGGCCGATTAATCGGCTTTGCCGATTATTTACCGATTAATCGGCTCATCCCTAGTAAAAATATGAGCTTTTTTCAAGACATCTTCATCCCCCTCCCTCGGTGTAATAAATGTACTTTCCCTAAGCATTGTTTTCCTAAGTATTTCACAGAGAGTATGTTCCAAGTTTTTTTACGTGCTGCTTTATTAACCGCGCAACAAGGATAAATTTAGTGTAAATCCTGCTCAGTCCTTTCTGGTGTTGTCATATTAGTTCTGACATAGTTTTTTGCGTGAAAGTAATAAGACACACCAAAGTCAAAGAGCACTGAGTTAATATATCTTTGTATACTGCTATTAAAGTGCTGACCGGTTCTAAATCAGACCAAATGTTTGTTATATTCGATATTCATATCGAATCGAATATCTATATACGATATTCCAAACATTTGCAAGGTGGCATTTTGAAATGTCACCTTGTAGATATTTGGAATATCGAATATCTTATATCGAATATATATATTCGATATCAGTATCGAATATAACAAACATTTGGTCTGATTTAGAACTGGACGGCACTTTAGCAGTATACAGAGATATATTAACTCAGTCTCACTCTCAGTGCTCTTTGGTGTGTGTGTCTTCAGTACTTTCATACAAAAAACTATCGGAACTCCTATAAATAAGAGAATTACAATAACTGACAAATCATACTCGGCTGCACTCTCATAGCTTTAATTTTTGTTTTGGCAACGTCTCATTGGACATTGCTTGTTTTGGTGACTGTTTTGCATTTTTGTAACCGAATAATATATTCATATCTAAAATATCTGAATCACAAAACGAAACTAACTCACGAATCGAAGGCGCTGTTTGATAAGCTATGCCTATGTAATGTTTGTCTCGCTTCCAAATTATGTGACGATGTACAGCGAGTGAATCACAGGAGTAAAGACGGTGTTAAAGAAGATTGGATTAGGGAGTAATAAAAAAGATACGTAAGCAAACACACGGCTCAGTTAGATTTGTGCCCTGCCGGGAATGGCGTATTGCCCAACGGAAGCGAAATATGGCTACGAAGATAGTCGTTTTGAGAAAGCTGTTGATGCCCACTTTCATTGCTCTATCTGCTACAATGTTCTGAAGGAACCAATGATGTGTAGAAATAATGAACACATATTCTGTCGTGGCTGTATCACTGAACATTTAACTGTGAACTCGCATACGTGTCCAGAATGTAACGAGGACTTGACTGTCGAAACACTTCGTAAAGCCCCGCGTCTGGCGAGCAATTATTTATCTGAGCTTAAGATAAAGTGCGATTATTCTAACCGAGGATGTCCTGAGTACATTCGTCTGGAAGAACTCGATTCTCATGTCAAGAATTGTGGGTTTGCACCGGCGACGTGCTCAAACGAGGAATGCGGAATGGTGGTTAATAAGCGGGAGATTATTCATCATGAGAGCGCAGTTTGTGAATACAGCAAATTCAAGTGTCATACCTGTGTGAAGATCGAGCAAGTTGTTCAAGAGATGAAGGAAAAAATGGAAAAAGAGGTTAGAGCAATGAAAGAACATGTAGTAACTTTTAAATGTTTTCAGTGTGGGCGGGAAGGATATGATTTTTTTTAGTACAGACTAAAGCCTGTTTTGCACTAGGCGGAATTTTGCGCGCGGAGCGGAATTTTTCTTTGTCTTGTGATTTCTCGGGTGGAACCATAGGCTGCCCAAAAGTGCGTGTTGAAATTTTTACTCTCGCGCGTGGCGCTCGGGCATGCATCGAGTCTACTCAGTTTATTATTATGACAAGGTTGGCAAGAGTTTTAACGGAAATTTATTACAACGTTTACTAGAGTATGAATATTTCGCAAATTTCAAACAAAAACAATATAAAATCTACATCATTTCAAACACTGATAATTTTACTACATTCTCTCAAAGTTTTAACTTCAAAAGTTCATTCTAGCGATGTTAAAAAAGCGAATTATTTTCGGCTTTTTTGCAAAATTTTGTCAGAACTATGCTGGGGTCACGTACCCTGTGGTGATGTCATATTTTTTAATTCTTGAAGAAGCGCTGATTTGCTGTTGTACACGATTCCAATACAACAGCAAATCAGCGCTTCTTCAAGATTTAAAAAATATGACATCACCACAGGGTACGTGGCCCCAGCATAGTACGTTCTGATAAAATTTTGCAAAAAAGCCGAAAATATTCGCTTTTTTAACATCGCTAGAATGAACTTTTGAAGTTAAAACTTTGAGAGATAGACTGTACTACAAATAGACATAGACTGTACTACGAATCACTGGATATGGAACGGATTAAATAACTACAGCGTTGATATTTGTGAATTCGTGCGCCACTACAAACGGGAAATTGTATAAAGTAATATAAAAATTTATAATAAATTTTCCGTTCCCGATTTTGAAGAAGTTATTCTAAAAAGGATTCTGTTGGGGCATGTAGAAAAACTCTATGTGTTAAAGAAGAGTTTGTAGAATCATGTTGCTGCATACCTGGTAAACAAAGTCCCTGCGTCAACATGCTGCGGATCTGCGTCTGATTTAGGATTGTGCTTTTGTAACCAACTTCCAAAGTGGTCAAGTTTAACTCCATTTGATGCATCTCGAGTATAATTCAGCTGCATTAACAATAAAAATAGGTATACCAAAGTATAGATGTACGCAAACCTTAAAACAATAACGATGGAAGCAAGGAAAAAGAGATCGAGTATATTGCGAAGCATGGTTGGGAAGCTCGAAGTGACTGACGGGAAACACTACGTTGGCAACCCATTGTTCAAAATATTGTATACATATTCATATATAATATATACATATGTACATATTCGTATGACAAAACATGGGGAAAATGCAGGCACATCTTAATTCCCTGTAATCTTAATTTTTT